ACTATCAGAAAGCAACTGCTAAGTTTGGGCTTATTTGACTACCTTAATCAAAGAATAAGTAATATTTCTCCTGATACCCAATGCTATATCTTCTATCCCAAAGCCTTGGGACCACCGAGCTATTGTGGATTTGGTGTCAGTCCCCTCACCCATTACTGCGCACATATCTTTGGCAGGCTCACTTGTTTTACTGCGGCGCTGCTGCTCAAAGTTCAAAATTACTTGAAGTGATGAGCTTTAATTTCAAGCGCTTATAAAAATAACGCCACGTGACAGTGCCGAACTATAGACCTCGATCAGAAAGATTTGTTATGTACTAACATCTGCCAAAACTTGGACTTCCAATTAGCTTTTCTCTTTGAGAAAACTGCATTTCTTCTCTAGCTGCCCCATTACTTTTGGATCACCCTAATAGTAAAGCTGAATGTGTGTCTGTCTGTGTGTGCGTACCATCGGCTTCCCAATTGCCGCGAGGATGGACTCGAGCGAGCGTGTCAGCGATGCGGTTACCCTGTGTTGAAACAGATAAATAGCTGATAAATTGATTATCGGTTGACCATCGCGACCGCCCTCACAGCAATCGGGGAGCTGATTATATGTGCGGAATAAAAATTTTTGCTCCTGAAACGATTTGGACCAAACTTGGCACACATATATCGTCTGCGCCCCAGAGAGGTTCCCATGTGAACCAGCGTGCGTATACGTGGTGCGACGCTGCCTTTCGCTTTTTTGACACGTTTCAGCTGAGATTTCAACGGAACTGCCGGAGGTTAACACGTTCAAAACCGAAAGGCAGCGAGATGACGTGGTACCTATGGGAATCTTGCTGGGGAACAAACGGTACATTGAGGCAGGGAGCGTGTCATAGACTACTTTTCATTATCGATCAACATCGATTTTATCGATTTTTTGCAGAATCCAAGCTGGGGAGTTGGCACAGGGGGGGAGGGGGTAAGTGAGCGCGCTGATTACGAATACAATATTAGTTTCTGGGTTTATCGATCACATTTATCGATTTTATCGTTTTTTTTGCGAAGTTTGAGCTACGGGCTGGGAGTTGGCACACATCAAAGTTGAGAGTGTGGTGATTCCTTCCAAAAATGACCTTTCCGAACATTAAAATTGGTTTAATCTGAAAGCACAACGTGCGATCTTTTATAATTATTGATTTCCTAACCTAGAAATTGCCTTTAAGCATTCAAACATGAGTTAGCCTGCTCGCAGCCAGTGCCGAACATGAACGCTCATAAAGATTTTTTTCTTCGAGAAAGCTAGAAGTTGTCCATTTTATATAGAATTTTATTAACCGAAAAGTGAGTGTACGCCAAGATGAACGATAGACGGAAATAAGCGAGTAAGTGAGCATGCTGATTACTAACACAGCGGGAATAGGGGGAATTGGCATGTAGAAGCGGGCAGGGAAAGGTTGTAGGGATGAGACCTTCATCATATTCTTTTGACAGGGCCGAGCGGAGCCGGATAAGCAAGCTAGTTCGAAAATAAAAATTCTTGAACAAACGAGTATCAAATAAATTCGAGATTCAATTCTCGAATGAATGAATCCCGAATAAAATCGGAAAAGTAAGAGTAACGAATGAATGAATATCGATTATATTCGAACATTGAGAGTCGAATTTTGAATAAATATCCGAATGATTTACCGAATAAGAGCAACCAGATCTAAAATTTGCTGACATATTCGGCTAAAGCTAATCCATTCAGAATCAGCACTCCCATATCCCCTATACCATCTCCTAGCTCAAGATTTTCCACTAGTTGGTAAAATCGATAAAAAAGATTTTTCTACAATCAGCACCTCACTTACCCCCCCCCCCCTCCCCTGCACCAGTCCCCAGCCTCGTAGCGCAAGATTTTCCAAAAATCGATAAAAGCATCAAAGTAAATGTTTATTCATAATCAGCACCCTCATTTACCCCCTGTACTAACTCCCAGCTTCGTGGCTCAAAATATTCCAAAAAATCGATAAAAACGATAAAATGAAATAAAATTTCATCCATAATCAGCACCCTCACTTACCCCTTGTACGAGCTCCCGGCTCGCAGCTCAAAGTTCTCCAAAAAATCAATAAATCAAGAAGGGGAATTATATAATAAGGGAATAAGAGGTATAATATAATATAATCGATAAAGAGTACATTATAATATCGATATCGATATCGATAAGCAGGGAGTTTATCTATTTAGAAAGTTGTACACGCTATGCATTTGTGATAAGCTGTACCTTTAACGGCATTTTGTAACTAGCAAATCGCATACGACTGTCGGGGTGAAGTATGTGCGGGACCTATCATTCTCAATGTGGACCTTCTTCGTACGGCTTTAGTCTTTACTATAGTTGATAGGCTGATAGCTTCCAGTGTAAAGTGCCTGCAAGTCTCCGTGAAAATCTTGGTTGCACTGTGATAACAGAACTCCTGCGTACTATCTACTGAACAAAACTTTATTGCAAGGTGATTTAACTGCGAAATTCAGCAACGTCTAATCCTACACTATGGCTGCGATGTCCTTTACTCAAAACAACCAATTCGCGAAAAATCCCTAAGGAAAAGAATAGAGGCAGTTGTGCAGCATGAGTTTCACAAGCAAGAATGCTAACTAGAGTGGACCTTTGCGTCCAAAAGCATGAGCATGCAAAGGAAGAGAAGCAGGCATGCCAACACACTTCCAGTGTATGAACTCGGGACATGAGCTTGAATTTGATAGCTGTTTTTTTTTGCTGATTTGATCCAGTAGCAGTGCGAACTATCTCCTGATCGAGAAAGCATCAATCAAAATCCACACCTATTTTTTACTCTCGCAAGTAGACGGAGGAATGCGATTTTCCATATAGTTCAGAAGATCACGGTTGCAAAAAGATGCATTACATTACCGAGTTTGCGGAAAAAACGCACACGAAGCGAGCTTGGTACTCAGCAGTTGGCTCTGCAACTCGAATAATCGAATTAGGAGTTCATTCGAATACGAATTCGAATAAAACTCTTGAATGAAATCTATTCGAAATCCCGTTTTTTGATTATTCGTGTTTTCGAATTTTATTCGAATCTCCGTTTTTTGATCACTCTTCTCGAATTTTATTCGAAACCCTGTTTTTTGATTATTCGAGCTTCGAATTTTATTCGAATATTGTTCCGTTTTCTCAATTATTCGAGTTTCGAATATTGTTCGAAAATGAAAGAATTCAGAATATCGAATTTCGAATGCGAACATATTCGAATGCTTTATTTGAATGATCGAATTTCCATTCGATTCGGACCCAAGTATACGCATATCTTACAATTAGGTAACATCAGCGATTTTCAATGGCGGCATAGCAGGAGGAACCAAAGGCATTGCCGCCATATTCGCAGGAGACAATCAAGAGTGCGAGCAGTGTGGAGAAGATTTGGCAATGATCTAAAACTATTCCAATCTCCAAACTTATAAACTTGTGATAACCCCCATCTGTTCAAGAAAATGTTCGAGACATAATGGAAACAGTGGATGCCGCTTGTCAAGACCTCCACTAGTATAAAAATAAGAACAAAATTAAAAAGTGATAGTTTCAGACGAAAAGAACTCTTTTATTTGGAAAATCGCTGGAATTTTGGAAGGCAAACTTAAAGCTAAATAAAAAGCTAAAATTCTCCTATTGGACAAGCGAAAAGATGTTTGTTACAGTTGCTGGAGAATTCGGACATAAAATATCAGAAATAGCCCCAGAAATTCTGAGATTCCTTCTGATAGCTTACGGAAATACGTTATGGCAAGGCCCAGCATTTTTCAATCATTTTTGAAATTGTGCTTCTACTATGGTAAGGCAAAAATTGATGATATTCAATGTTTTTTGCATCAGTGTGAGATTTCCTTACGGGTTCCAAATCTGCCGAAATTTCCAAACGATGTGCTCGACGTTTTAAATTTGAACAAAATTTGTTAAACATAACCATTCGATTCCTACGCTGCGTGCACGTAGAACATAAGAAATCTTTTTGTTGGTGCTTGCGATTTACTATTGCATGTCAAAGTTCGGAAAATTATTTTGGTCTTAAGAGAAGTGCAAAATAATCTTAAATTTTTTCCAGTGATATGCTATCATAGCCCTTTCGTTGCGCAACGATGAGGGGACTTGGTTCTATTGATATCCAAAGGTTAATCAAAATTGATTTTCAAACATTCAAGAACTCTTGATCGACATGCTAAAACTTGAGCATGAGGCGTTTCTTCTAAGTAACTGTTCTGACAAAATTTTGGGAAATTGAAATATAATATTTTTGATTGAGAACTAACATTATTTACCAAACATTTACCTCCTAAATACATGCGCCATGAAACGCCGATTTTGATTTCCGATTTTAATCAAAATTGCCTCACTTTTCTTTTGAACATTTTCCCAAGCAAAGTTACAAGGGTTTACTTTCTTAGGCTTTTCTCTTGGTTTCCTTGCCTAGTTCTCCTGGAACCTTGCCAAATCTTTTCCCAGTGCTCGCGCTCTTAATTATCTGCTGCGGATACAGGCGGCTGAACATTTGTCCCTGCGCGTCCTCCATTTTCAATGATTGCAAAACATTAATCGTGGTTAGTCTTTTGCGGAAATCCGCGGAACTCGTACAAATAGTTAATTTTTCAGGCAGAAGGCTTAGCCATCCAACCGTTCGGCACACAAAAGAGTTAAAAGCTTTAAAAAGGACTCTATTTCCCAATCTATGGGTCTTTTGTCTGGCCACTTGTTAGGGTCTTTTGCTCGCGAATTTTTTTGGCGCGTTCATGCTGGTCGACTTTGGAAAAAAACACGTGTGTCTTGTACTCGTGAAGTTTGGGAATATAGTCTGCCCTGTACTCGTGAAATTAGGGTATAAAGCTTTCTTGATTTTTCGTCTGCTTACATGAAAACAGACTGCTTTGTATGTTTTTATAGCTCATGCAGACCACTTTCAAAAATTCCGCTACCCATTTTCGGAGGGTGTACGCGCACTCCGCTGCTGAATAGCCGCTACTTGCTGTGTGGCTCATCCCAAAAACGTTATCCGCATGATACTGCCAATACCGTGCCAGTTGGGAAAGATTTAATGATTGAATTAGACCACCCAATACAAATTCGCGTTTGAGCTGGAAAGTGATCTTCTCACATTGCAATCAAACGCACACAAAGAAAAGGAAAGAAAATATGTACAAACACAGATAACACATTTACTGGTAGTATAACTCGAAATTGAACCCCTCGTGAATCTCATAGTCTTGAAGCGTGATGTGATCCTTGTATATCGTATACCACTTCTTGAGAACAATCTTCTCGTACCTGAAAAGCGGATATTCGCACAGTATGCTACGCGCGCCTTTTAGTGATTGTGGGTATGTCCAAAATGTAAATTTTCAGAATTTGAACCAAAGAAAAGACCAAACATACCTAGTTCCTGTCTGAGCAGCGATCAACTTCTTCAGATCCCCGATCGTGTCAGTAGGATTACACTTGATACGCACTTTCTTGCCCAATCGGTCATTCACGGTTATTTCAATCATCTGCAAAGAAATTACTTATAGAAGTGCTCTCGTTGAAAATTTATGATAACATATCTTCAACAGCATCAGCGAATGACTACTTCATGCAATTGCTACATTCTGCAAAGGCCACATAGAACATAACACCAGAGAGAGGGTAGACCATGAGGGATGACAAGTTGGCAGAAAGGAAAAGTATTATTTCATTTACGGTAATCAGAGAGATTGTAAGGCACAGTAAGTGCAGTGAGAATCAAGGCGATCAATCACGTGAACAATCATCAACATTACAAATTTGTCTCTCGCAGAGTGGCATCCTGATCATCGCGAACGCTTATATTTACTTTAGTTTAAAAAATGAATATAGATAAATTGCTCAAAAGAAAAAAATTACGGATCGATTCGTTCTGCAAGTAATACCAAGCAGAGCCATGCTTCATCATCTAAAACCACAGATCTCCACTATGTCAAAATCTTACTAAATCTGTAGAGATAAAACTCAAGGGACATAAGGCCGGACTTGACATGGCCATTATACAAAGCAAAGTGACTGCCCTTAATTTCGAAAGTCCCCCTCGACAGCGTTTGTGAAATTGCCCTCACCCCTTATTGCGTAATAGTTCTTTTTTTTTGAATTCTAAGCCACCACAGACAGTGGAAGATGCTAGAGCTTCAGTGCTATACTAACCTTACTTTGCTATATCGCACGTAGTCGTTATTCTGTAACTCATGTCATATATAGTTTCAATTAGGTATTCCACCTTTGCAATACTGTTTTGTGATGGAAGCTACTACAACGCAATTTGCCCTGACTTACGAATAGTAGCTCATTCCAGAACCGAATGACGAATTTTGAGGAGAGAGAATGGTTTAAAAAGTAAAATATTATAACGAAATTTTGTCCTTCAATTCCAGAACTCGGCGGGATCTACTGAAAATACAGCCGTGACCCAAAAATGAAATGAACCGAATCAGCACATGTGTAAAAATCGAAAAGCTTTTCAATTCAGAGCGACAGGCGCTTGCCACATCAAAGTAATACTTAGCCTCCCTAGCCAAAAAAAAAAAAAGAAATGAGATATTCACATTTGCTTATGTAACTAAGTCCATGAAATTCTCGAAAAAACATGGTTTAGAGCATCGAATAATACCACAAACACCTATAGCTAAACAGCACTCAATGCTCAATAAATGCGGCACATCGGCCCAGTATCTCTATCAGAAAGATGCAAGAACCTATACATACTCAAAGATCACCCAAACAACTGATTAGAGAGCAATCTGAGAAAGAACAGAGAACCTTAAACGCATAGCATGGCCAATCTCTGCGATCAATACGTTTGGCAGTATCAATAAAAGGCCTACAGTCACAAGTGCAATCGCTCGTTAATACCATCAGAGATGGAATTCCGAAATCGTCGAATAGATGGTTCAACAGAAAGCAATTTCTCAGCAGTATGTTAGGAGTCATATCCCATCTCGCGTTGTTTACCTTGCCTGCTGGTAGGATACCGGAAGAAACCACTACTAGAAAACAAAAAACTAGTGTAAGATTTATCTCGAGTTCACTATTTGAACTGTACAAAGACATACATCGAAGAAGCAAGTATCGATCCTGATGCTAGTAGACAATTTCAAGTCTTTCGAAACAAAAGTTGGTAGCGTATCACATACTGATCAAACATTTGTGGAATGACGGCAGACACAATGATGGGATATAGATCGCATAAACGTATTAAGCTTCTCCGCAAAAAATTTATGAGAACTGTCCGTGAAGTTTCTTTTGCAGGATCAGGTTGTGATGCAGTTCTGGCTTGATATCACACACTAATTGCAGAAGACGGACAATCACCTAAAAATAATCGAACGTTCGCCATGAAAACGCCTGGGCCGATCCAAAAATCACAAACCTGTTGCTTATGTGCAAGAACGTTCTTCTTCATTGCTTCAATTTCATTCTCAGTATCACGACGAATCTTGCTCTCAATATCTTCTTTAGTTCCTAGGTACGTCTGCTCGTACTGTTTGAACTTCTGTTCTCGCTCCTAAGGGAAATAAAGTATGAGACAGAACAAAAGATAGTACCAAATGTATACCTGACGGTACTTTTCCACTTCAGCCTGGGCTTCCTGCTTAGCCTGTTTCATGCGCTGGAATTTTCTCTTCCTAGCCTCATTGATCTTTTCAGCAGCTCTCTTTTCAGCAGCCAACAACTGTTGAATCCCTTGAGTCTGCGAAGCCATTTCTGCAGAATTATAGAATATCGAAGCAAAAATAACCAAGAGCTTCGCAAAAAAAAAAACAGAGCGTAATGTAAATACGTATCAACAAGTAACTTGCTTTGGTGCAAACCATACCCTAATTTCAAAACATACGTCTTTGAACTTCTTATTGAACTATAGCTCTTTTTTGTATGGGAAAATACATGTAAACATCAACAAGGTACAAACAATCCTCATAAGTGAATTTTACACGACAACAAAACCTCTTATAACGCATCTAAAACCCGTCAACACGGCAAACCGGAAACAAGGATTCATCACATCGTTCAAGATATTGGTAAGAAACAACTTGGCACAATCCGTAAATTAAGAAAAAATGAGTGACTCAATGCTTGAATAACCTATAATGGGGGAAAACTTGATCGCACTCATGCTCAAAAAGTGCTCACCACCGCAAGAGTATTCGGAACCTAAACACAGCAGAGATAAGCTTCATGTCCTCGGAAGTATAGACAAAGTCACCTTGAATGTTCTTGTTTCACCATCGCTGAAAACTGCCTCCAGCACCAGTTGTGAACCAGCTACATCATATACTGACGGCTGCGAAACACTAAATCAGATGTTGAGAAATTCTGACGTATCTAGTGAAAAAAAACATGTTCCTGACAGTCCAGCAGACAATTCAACCTTAGGCACGCGCCACACTTGATCTGCTTGGTCCACGTCCACTTCGCCAGTGAACCGACCATTAGCAAACGGAAGTTCACTTGATCCACTTAATCCGCTTCATCCACTTCGCTAGTCAGATCACTGATTTGACCAAAAGCGAAGTGGATGAAGCGGATCAAGCGGATCAAGAAAATCATATATGATGGGTACCCCGTCGGGGAGGGGATCGCAGCTCAAAAGAAAGCTTCATTTCTGAATCTCCAGATATCTGAATTTCACATTGTCTACCTAACCGTAGGTATTTCTACTACTCTTCACTATGGACAAATTGAACAGAAGCGAGAAGCTGCACAAGCAGCATCTTCCAACTTTTTGTATGATCCCTGATGACCCCCGGCGCTCGACCATCTTTTCTCTAAAGTCATTTTTCTTTCTTCCAAATTGATAGAAACGTGTCAAAGTTTCTCTGATTGTCTGTCCAAACAGTGCCAAGCATGTTTCTGATAAGAACAAATGATGTCGAAATCATGAATTGCGATGATCCACAAGTCGAAAGTTGAGGTTTATCGAAAATTTTGGTGCAATAACTCATTTGTTCTTATCAGCACACGCTTAGCACTGTCAGGCCTGATAAGAGCACAACTTTGGAATATTCTCGTTAACTACGAAGGAAGAAAAACGACTTTGAAGAAAAGACGGTGGGGCGCCGGGGATCATCAGGGATCATAAAAAAGCTGGGAAGGGCGACTTGTGCAGCTTTTCCCTCTTGTTCAATGATCTTTAAAGTGAAGAGTAGTAGGAATACTTACGAGGTAGACAGAAGATATGAAGCTTTCATCTAAGCTGCGATTCCCTCAACAGCGAGAATTTTAATGCATGCGGCCTTAAAGGCACCGTCCACCCAAAATGGAGGTTGGCGAGATTATGAGGGGATACTAGTGTGGGCCCCCACACTAGGCAAACCCCCAAGCCTCGCCGCAAAAGACTGCTTCTGGAGCGAGAAATCCGCTCCGGAAATAGCAAAGTAGGCGGGGCGAGCTCGGTCGCCCCGCCCACTTGCATGCTTTATCGCTTCTGTGCTTGTTGCAGAGAGTTCTCGAAACAGGGATTTTTGGGGGTTTCGCGGATTTTCGACTTCATATTCGGAATCAGGGCTTTCAGAAGGCCTGAAAGCGACAAAAACATTGAATTCGAGATTTTAGTTGGACGGTGCCTTTAAAGGCAGTGTCCGGGCAAAAAGTCGATTTTGAGATTTTGTGCTTACTCGGGCCTATTCCCTATGCTGAATCCGAATATCCACATTGGAGAGCGCGAAAACGACGAAAAAGGGCTCCAACACTGGAGGGAAATCAGTAAGTGGGCGGGGTCTTCCCCACTGTGAACTTACGCTCCCAGCTTCGGGGGCGATCTTTTTGATTCCGTTTTCAAGTCACTCGTTTGCACTTGATCGGTAGTGATGTCAGGGCGGCTAACGGATTCGAGAAAATTGCTTTGAAAGCTAGAAGCGTGAATTCACAGTGGGGAAGACCCCGCCCACTTGCTGAAAACCCTCCAGTGTTAGAGCCCTTTTTCGTCGTTTTCACGCTCTTCATTGTGGATTTTCGGATTCAGCATAGCGAATAGGCCCGGGTAAGCACAAAATCTCAAAATCGAGTTTTTGCCCGGACACTGCCTTTAAGACTATCAAAGATCTGAGCAAATTTGGAGAACTATGCAATCTCCACATATATTCAAATAGATACTGCAATGACTAGAGGCAACCACCTGATGATAAATCGGAACAATTCAGTGCGTCCATTCTCAACAACAGCCTTTACAACTTCTCTATCGATCCACCACTGCTGCCGGTTCTCAGGAGGCAATTGTGTTAGAGATGACACTGCTTCGTGAACCTGAACGAGTTATTGAAATAATGTAATAATTGATATCTTGGAGTTCACCTTTGGAGAATATTTCAAAGTGATCGAGGCAAAGCGTTTCCTTTCATCCACATTAGTTACAGCCACTTCCAAGGGAAATTGCGAAAGCCTGCCATATTGAAGTTGAAAAAGCGATAATGTTGCTGAGTCATAACAATACCTGTTGTTAGTAAAACTATGAATGATCGGTTTGATTGAGCGACACGTAATTACAAGTGGACTTCCTTCCACAAGCTGATCTCCTACCCGATCACTCTTCACTGGATCAGACATCGAAGCAGCCATACAACCCTTTTCAGAGGATTTCAGGAAAGAGTTCAGCGAAGAATCGTCAATGAACGTTTCCCCCACTATAGAGGATACCTTAAAAGAATTCATTTTTATTACAACGGAGAAAACATCCTGATGAGAACTTACATGTCCTTCATTGTTAACAACGCTCGCCTTCCACAGAACGGCCACCTGTACATAATTTTCGGGAAGCATAGACGTCTCATCAGCACTTTTAACACAGTCAGGAAGACCTGGAGGCCAAGCAGGCAGATCCGGAGGCAATGCGCTGAGGCACCAGCTGGACTTGCCCATTCCTTCAACTTTCGAACTGCCACTCTTTGGCATCACTATGTACACTCCAACGCTACATGATTGTTCACAGTCAAGTTGCACTGAAACAAACATTATTCACACCAGTTGGATGCCAAGATAGATACTAAAAGGCTTTCAAGTTCACACCTGCACCTATCCTCATTGGTTGAAGCATATAAGAAGCATCTGTCTCATTCCAATGACCTTTGTTATCCATTCGCTGCTCAACAAGGCGAATGCGCATCACCTCACAGCGGGCTAGTGCTGCGTCGTTTGCCAGAATTACGTTTTTCATATTTATAGCAACAATGCCATGTGTTTCGTCTGGAAAGTATTATTCTTTGCAAATTCGCGAAGATAGAAAATAAGGTACCTAAGACTGATGCTGATGCTTCAAACAGCGGAGTCGGCTCCAGTGTGAGAACAGTTCGCCACTCTCTGTATGTGTGACTTTCACCACGATAAAAAAACAGCAGACCGACATTTGTTTCTACATAGGAAAAAGCTGGTGCTCTTACTGTTATGTAGAGCCTAAAAATAATGCTGAGGGTTAACACAATGAGGAACTCAAAACTGCACCTCATCCGCTCTCCGACAGCAATGCGGACATTACCAAAATCAAATGTTCGCACCGCGCTGCATGTAGGAGCATAACATGAAGTGATAATCTTTCTAAATAGGAAAAGAATGTTGTCATGCAAACCAGAACCATCAACGCTACCTCTTGCCACTTTTATCTGAAAGCGAAGCATTTGTACAATCCACACCATCCGTAGCGAGACACAGGCCGGTCACCAACTCACGACCTATATTTTCCACCTGAAGTAAAGATTTTTTTGTCATAGCAGAAAAATTACGCAAAAGCTTACTTCGATATCCATGGTCACTGCTTGTCCACAGTATATCTGCGGCTGATTTTTTCTTGACACCCGAAAGTCCAAAAGAGGCCAACTCTTTTGCGCAACAGTTGCATGGAGTCGCTCATCCAGCGCATACACGACTGATTTCATCTGAAGATGCTTTGCTCTTACAATCGTTCGAGAATTTTGATGACTAGAAAACCAACCTGTTTCGCATTTTTGTTCAATCGTTTTCCTCTGACACTAATGGGTAAGTAACCACATATGGACTTCCCGGCAGAACCAACGACTTCGAATAGCAGTCTTTCCACGCGAAAACTTGCAAGATGAGAAGTGGGACGCACCCAAAGAGTCACCTAGACATGTTGCACTAGGAATTTGTCTGTAGCAACCTCAACAGTGCACACCTTTTTGAATTCCTCAGGACGAAACTCTAAACTAGAGATAACTTCTTGCTCAGAAAACGATCGTTCTTTTTCAAAGCCTAAAAGTAAGCTTTTGCGACAAAACGATGCTTAGGAACACAACTCACCTTCCCTCATATGGATATCAGTCATTCCAAGTCTCACATTCTTGAGAGTTAATGAGGACTTCAACGGATTTCTTAGACCAAACTCAACGCGGAATCTTTCATCTGGAGGTGTACTACGAGCTCTCTGATTGTCCGTCTCATTATCACTTACAAGATGGATAGGACGAAAAGCTGTTGACGATCCTGAGGCGAGAATGTAAAGGAAAGCTATTGTGACTGAACATCGCATCGTACCTGCCAGTGTATGGAAAGCAGCTCGTTCTAAATCAATCCAAATCACTGTGTTGTTAACAAAAGCGTCATCAGGTTGTGGGCGCTCTCCGCATATTACTCTGACCGAATTCACATCCATCAAAGGCACGGGTAAGTGAACGGGATCTAACTAAAAAGAAAAAAAATGAAACTTTGAGAACTTCAGTTGTTATTTTCATATCCATGATAGATAAATCCACCTCCTCTCCGATTTTGAACCTCGTTAATGTTTCTACAAAGTTATCCACAAAAGCTGCGTGGGATGTATCGGTCTGTGTGTCGTTCTCTCTCAGAAGACGAGACGCACAATCAATTGCCACATTTCTGTCGGTCGTGTCAGCAGATAGGATAGCAGCAAGATGATCCTCAAATGTAACCATATCATGCAGCTAGTCACCACAATCTCTACTTCGTGCGACATCATAAGTGGATCAATAAGATTAAAGGCAGCGTCCGGGCAAATACGAAAATGTAAAGTATAGGGGCGCCCGTCCTGGTAAGGCGCTTGCCCAACTGGCAATGCACCAATTTGCTTCTGAAGGAAATCCGCTTCAGAAGTGGCGACCGGAACGCCCAGGCGACCGGGACGAGTTAGTTCGAAAGGCCAAAGTGCGCATACCGGGGTAGAGGTACGAACGCCTCAATTAGGCGCCGCTTCTGCGGGCTGCTGGTCCTTTCGTCTTACTGTTGTACATCGTGTTGGAACCAGTAGTCCGCGGAGGCGGTGCCAAATTGAGGCGTTCGTTCCTCCACCCCGCATACCGCACACAGTAAAGACAAAGGGTCCCACTAAGTCTGCGTCTAAACCTTGGCGGCAGGCAACAAAATTCAAATCGGGAGCTTTTGGCAAGGCTGTTTTCGGCGTTTTCGTGCCCTCCAAACTGCATTTTCAGAATCGGTGGGAGGAATAAGTCCAAATAAGCGAAAAAAATTCCATTCGAATTTTTGCCCAGACGCTGCCTTTGAAAGCTGATTGTGCATGAAAGCCAATATATAAAGCTGAATGTCTGTTTTTCTGTCTGTCCGTATGTGTGTACGTGTTCCGAACAGAAATTTTTATTTTTGAACCGATCCGAACCAAACTTGGCACACGTGCACTTCGGGGCGGTGGGGCGGGTGTCATAGGCTACTTTCCGTTATCGATCAATATCGATATCGATCTTTAACAATTTTTTTTGTAAAGTTTGAGCTACGGGGCTGGGAGTTGGCACATGGGGGTAATCGAGCATGCTGATTACGTACACAATATTATTTTTTAGAATGATCCATTACTTTTGTCGATTCTATTGATTTTTTGCAAAGTTTGAGCTACGTGGCTGGAATTTGGCACAGGGGGGGGGGGGGGAAGTCAGCATGCTGATTACGAAAACGAAACGGGGATAAGGGACTGCCACCTAAAAGTGGGCACAGGGAAAGGTTGCACAGGGATAGGAATGGGACCTTTATCATAGTGTTATGAGGGCCGGGCGGAGCCGGGTAAGCCAGCTAGTAAACAATATATCGCTCACTGACCTCTACACTACTATACTATATCTCATAGCTCATTTACTGTGTTCTTCTGATCGTTATTACGGCACTACACAATGACCGAACATCAATTTGAGTAAAAATGAAAAAGAAATCTTCGCAAAAAGTGTATTCTCAATGCCCGCATATATTAGCTCTGAGCCTGTAATGCTATCGCCATACTCAATCCGTGCTACGGTCAGAGCCGGTTCTAATCCTAGCGGAACCTACTCATGCCAGTCACTATCTTATATGTGAAGCTGAATGTCTGTATGTCTGTCTGTATGTCTGTACGTATGAGCGGAATAGAAGTTTTTATTTCTGAACCGATTTGGACCAAACTTGGCACACATATACTTCGGGGCAGGGAGCGTGTCATAGGCTACTTTTCGTTATCGATCGATATCGATCTTTTGCAAAATTTGAGCTACGGGTCTGGGAGTTGGCACAGGGGGGTAATCGAGCATGCTGATTACGAATATAATAATGACAGGGCCGGGCGGAGCCGGGTTTGCCAGCTAGTAGTCTCTATTTTCGAACAATCATTGATTTTCCCTAGAACGCACTCGTGCTCTTCAGAAGTACTCTACGCTACCTCAAGACCAGACAGCTTTTTGGCAACAGGAATGAAGCAGCCTGCAGAATTCTCGTAAGCTACAACTTCCTATTGATAGGAACGAGTTCGCTCCACAGAACTCGAAAACTGTCCTCCAGCAAGAGAAAGCATACAGGGTGACGTCTCACATCACCTGCTATTTGTTCAGAAGTTTTAAGTGCTGAGAATCTAAGGTAGTTTGAAAGGGGTAGACCAATTTTTCTGTCCCTCTATTCTCTTGTATTCAGTTGAAAATAACGCAATGACACATACCTCGATGGAATCCCAGTTTGTGTTGACATACTTATGCAGTGCAAGTCGGTAACATTCTGAAAGTATTCAAAATTCAAGGAAGAATTTCAGCTAAAACTGAGACAGATACCTAGAGCATTTTGCTTCAATCCCGCTTTCATGAAGCGATTGCCTCCCAAGACACGGTAGAAAGCTGCCTTTCTCATCAACTTAGCTTCTTCAAAATAGCGAGATGCAAGTGAATGGGTAACAGCCACGCACATATCGTTATCCTGTGATTAATACTTACCCTAAAGAGAAGAATGAGACGGAAAAATTCACTGACCAAAGTGGTAACAGTAGAAAGCAAAGAAGCGGCTTCACGTTTCAAAGATAGGTTTCCCAACACGGTTGCAGCATTGAAAGCACATCGCATTACTGTGGTGTATTTTCTGAAACTTCCGATGATAGTGGCAATGAGAATCGTCAAAAAAAGGACAACCTTACCCAGAATAATTTAGCTGATTTTCTAAAGCAGCTTCAAAATAGTGTCGCGGAAAATGTTTGGGAGACATGCTGCTATCAGAAAGATACAAAGCCACCGCTGCCATCTCCTGTATATTTAACATGAAAATGTAATCCTCTGAAGCATCACAGCATCAGAGTAACAAAGGAAATGTGCGATGGTTCACAATAAAATGCGGACGAAATTATGGGTCGTTCAAATAAGCTAAACTCCTAACTACGTCGAGAAAAGCAAACTCACAGTCGCAGCAGCATGGTGGAGCCATGCTTGACTATGTTCAAAATCCTTTTTCACCGATCGATATTGTGCATATGCAAAGGAAAACAACCCAAACATGAATGCTAGGTCAGCAAGACGACGACTTTGCATCTCAAGACTTTCAGACGGAAAACTAAACGCACAGCGTTGAAAGAATGGAATTCTCGCCAGAGGCATAACACGCACCTCACTGTAGCCAAATTAGTGAGGCTGCTTGCAGATCCCCCACCAAACCATTTCTTCATACCACTTGTTAGAGATTTTCCTATTAAACCTCGTCGAGCTGCTAGCTGTTCGAAGAGAGTACGCATCAATCTTTCCGCATGTGGGACCTGTTAATCCGAAAATGAGAACACCACTACACAAATCCAAGATCTCTACCACTAACCAAACAATCTTTCAGAAACTTTTGCGTCACATTAGTTAAAGCTTCCCGATCCACGTTTGAGATGTTATGTGTTCGCTTGATTGGAGATGATTTTGCTGAAGATGCGTGGAATAAGGAAGATGATACTGAAACATCCATCACTACCTGGAAACCCGTTCAGCTCTGTAGTAGGCACATTCGCTGACTGCACCATAGCATAAGATGGAGATATAGTTGATACGCTAGCAGCCTAGAAAGAAATATTGAAAAATAGCCTGTAGATCGATAAAATTATGCTAAACGACCTACGGCATTTGATTTCCTTTCCAAATTCTGCTGAGCCATAGCTGATGCTGCAGCGTGTTGCAATGCGCGATGTAATCCAGCAGCAAGAATAGCGTCCTCTTCCTCAAGATCGTCCCAAGGATCCGGGAGATCGTCGAAGGTTGCACTCTCACCAACGCGTAACATCTGGCAAGAATCTATTCCATAGGTAGAGCACATTTCATTGAACACCGCTGTCGACCTCAAAATTTACGCTAAGAAACGACATCTGGTGAAGTCACAACTTCCTACCGAGATTCATCATCCACACCCACATCGTGTAATAGGAAGTAATGCTTCAATGTGTTTGGACTGGTCCATTTTGGAGGCGCGCAATGCGACGGTGTTAGTACCTTTGAGTCAGCTGTTGAATGCTGGAATATTGGTTCTGAGCGTCAGTACAGAGAGACAATGAAAGTGACAGCGTTACCGAACCAACGGGAAAACTTATGCAGCGCAGAATCGCTCATTAAAACATGCATAAAGTGTATCTAATCGGATTTTACAAATGGTGACTATCGATTGGAATCTCTAGAGGATAACAATGATCAAATAAATCAAAAATTAGTGTTCAAAGCAAATCATTCAGCAAGAGGAGAATCCGATAGAAATACACGAAATTGACGAAACGCACAATCATGGAGTGGTAGAGGTTTACTGAGGCTAACTACCACCCAATGATCTTTCGTTTCGGTCGCGAATGAAACCACGCCCACATAAGCGCGCCGCGAAAACATGTCAGCGCTGAGTGAACAAGTGCGAGTTCACTCATTCTAGCAGTCATAATAGGAGATTCATGGAAGCTCTGCGACAACTAATACTAGCCTAGTTCCACGCTACTGACTTATGGTAACAGCCCTGTTCACAGTGGAAATTAGAGAACAAAAAAAAAGAGTAGCTGAACTATCTAGTAATAGTACGGGAAGTACTCTAAACATGTGCTACAACCTAGTCAGTTACGACATCTGTATCAGTAATGTTCGAGGTGTGTATTCTGAACTATCACAATCAACTGATCCCATTTGAAGTAATGCAAAAAGCTTCCTTTACATTGAAAAACTGCTTAATCGGGTATAGACCCTATATTGTAAAATGGAACGAAGTTAAGCAGATTAGATAGAATCGGACGAGAAGCAACGGCACAGGAGAGAAAGTGAGAGATAAAACATTATGTTTCTATACAACAGCAAAACTGTAACCATGAAAGGTCACATGATTCAAATAAGAAGAGAAAATGAACTTAATCGGCAACTTTTTACCGTTGTCATATTACAAACTTAACCGTGTAGCCATGAATGCTATACTTCAGAAACCTACACTATCAAGTATCCAAACTGACTATCGATCTTCTCAAAATTTACAGATGTCTCATGATATGTGCAAATACAAAAGCGTCTTAAGACTATTTGAAACGTTCACAATGCGTTTGGAGAAGTATTTCCAAACGCGCAAACCAAACGGCGCATTGCTGAGCGTAGGTGACGAGTAGCTCGCAATGTGTTACCAAGTGGCAGGAGGGGAAGAATGTAGAGGTGCCTGTGAGCAACGTGTGTAGCACTTAAAAGCTACTGCGGATGCCTCCTATCCTCCTCCATTTTGACAATGAGGGGTGCGGAGAAGGGAGCATGAAACAAGTACCAAGGCTGACGTCAACTTTATGCTCCAAATAAAAAAAGCCCTCAGAAGTTTACCTACCATGATGTATTACAGACTGATAGATGCTAACAATGCACAGAAGTGAATCCAAATTCCATAAATGTGAATATTGAGTGCCTCACCTGCTGTGTATGTTGAATTTGTACAAGTTTGCTAAGTTCGCTCAGTGGATTCTCCTCACATCCAGCCACAACGAAAACACACGCAAGGTATGTGCGAAAAGTTTCTTGTTCTATAGGTTCTGCCCATCGTTTCAATCCGCTAGAGAAACTTTCAAGAGCATCTGCCAGCTGCGGTTTTCGTTGCAAAAGCTTAAAGCTCATTGAAAGTTAAGTGGTAAAATGATAGTAAAAAGATATGACTGACTCACTTCATAGAGGACATGCGGAAGGACTGATAAAGTTAAAAGATGACCTTCTTTGTTGAGATCTCGAAAATCGAGAGTAATCCTAGCGTTTACATGTTGAGATGTGGACGGATCCTTGAAAAACACTGATCAAAAGCGATATAATAGACACTCGACACTCCCATGCAGGATCTGCGCACGTACAACTTCGGGGAAAAAACGAGTGTGCGGCAGTGTCAAAATCTCTTGTAACTCATTTCAACCCCGTCTAATAAGACCAAATATGATTCCTGACAAACGAACGGGATAATCAAATTGAAAGCAAGACTTAAAAAGTGCTCACCCTGATCGCGATCGAATGCGAAGCGAATGGCTGCAATAAACGAGAGATAGAATTGAATCCCCGGTCCCGAATCCTCGATTCAGCAGCAGACGAAGCGATAATAGCCACAAGTGGATGCTCCATCCATGTAGCTATTCACTGATGACGCTAGCCACTCGAATTCCGCCTTCCTGGATTCAGATGCGGGTGAGTCGAGCGGTGCCGCGGTTCAGTTGCGTGTGCCTGATCAACGCGCCTCTCTACTCTCCAGCACTCTCTCATCACACCCTCACTGTCTGGCGCTGCACCACAGGTTGGCGATTCCACGGGATGAAATTTGAAGAAGCACAAAATTGCCTAGCTTCCACCTGTTCTGAACTTCTCACTTATGCAAGATTCATGCATGATTTCTGTTAATAGGCTGCCAGCTGAAAATATTCAAGCAATATGAGACAGCACGCTAATAATCCTGTTGTGAAGCAATGCACACTTTTTGCATGTGGTGCGCTGGTACAACCATACTCTGTCTTGGTGCTTTTTCGCGTGGAGTATGTCCTGTTGGAAGTTTTGGCCTGCTCAAAGTGAAAACGGCGCTCCGCAGTATTATTCACTTTGAAAAATACCTCAAAATGCGTCTTTTCCGCTCAGCTGGTTCAGAATCGGTAGAGTAAGACAGTGGCTAGGTTGAACCTCGGTTTTCGCATCCTTTGTTGTAGTGGGCGCATTCTCATGCTGATCCCAAAGCTTTAGAGATCGCTACAGAAGCGAGCTGAAGTCTTTTGTGGAGTGACGGGAAGCTTGGGCCCGCTGGTCAGGACACACAGAACTTTGGATAATCTCCGCTACTTTGACAGTGCCATGCACGCTACAACGCCAAACTGATCATCACACGCATCTAAGAAGGTTGAGCTGGTGATCTTTGGCAGAAAGGCTCCTTAAAGGATCTTATCTGCTGCTTTAGAGCTTTTATCGCTCTCGATTGGGCTATGGCTAAACAGATCTGTCATCATGAGGTTTTTGAACTCTTTACCTCCCTCTTGCTGAAGTAATGCTGTGTGATGTGAGTATCTTTATTGCATGCCTGTTGAAGGCAGTGTCCCGCCATATTTTCGGTCCTAATTTGTTTGCGATTTGTGGACTTTCTCGTCGCGTGAACTCGGATATAGGTTAGGGATAGGGTTAGAAGGAACGAATTGAGACGTTTTCGCAGTTTCTAGGAGAGAAGCTCGAACTGGAGTTGGAACGGGAAGCATGAAGTTCTTGTCAAGAATCCCCATCCGTAATGGTCGTACCAATAAGTACGGATATACCCTCGATATCATCCCATATGTCTTCCCTCAACATGACGTGGATTACGTGGCTTGATGAGGCGCCGCCTCGCCTCGGCCTCGCGCCACGTTGCGAGCGCATCATTTGGCGCGACGTGGCGCTCACCACAACGTGGCGCAGGCTTTTCCACGTTCTTCTTGTTGCCACATCACGCCGAAGATGCGCACGCAACGTGGCGCAAGCCCGAGGCGAGGCGGCGCCTCACCAAGCCACGTAATCCACGTCATGTTGAGGGAAGACATATGGGATGATATCGAGGGTATGTACACGAGTTGTGATGATGGTATCCAAAATAGGTGGACAATGTCATCCGGACGGTGCAAACTGAGGCTCGCGCACCGACTTAGGTGCAGTCTGTCGGGCGAGCAAAACACAGAATCTTATGGGAATTGGTCAGGAGACCAGCAATTAAGCCCTTTGTATTATATGAGTTAACTCTGCCGGGACTGCCTTTATAGGCAGTGTCCGGGCAAAAACTTGATTTCTAGAAAATCCTCTTACGAGGGTTACCCAACGCCGAATCCGAAAATCCACATTATCCAAATCCACGGCTTAATACATACCTCGCTGCTTAGGTATGGACAAAACCATCGAGCAGCGAAGGCAGCGCTGCTTCAGCTGATCAGCGAGTTATAGTTTGCCCCAATCGGGATCAGGCCGAACCGCCGGCTGAATTTGCGCGCTCGCAAGCTAAGGGTCTGCGCTGCATACGCGCGCTGTCGCAGAGAGCGAAGCGATTGAGGAGGGAGCAGACTGGCTAGCCGTAGATGTGACGCAATACCTTCGCGGCACGGGTTCCCGCCATGCCAATTTTGGCCTGGTTGGGATTGGGGCAGACTGTATGCAGCGCTGCAATCGGCTGCTTCTTGCGTGCATGTTGGGTATAAAAACTATTTAAAATAACTGCGCTTTCATCAAGTTTTATAATGTCAAAAGGGAAGGGTTAGCTCAAATGTCTGAGTTTGATCTAAACATCATACAGTCGAGTAGATTTTCCGCTTAATATAGTGTGCTTGCACAGTTTATGAAATGCGGTAAAATTTGCGCGTGAACAGGTAGCTGCGCCAGCACTGCCGGCATTTTGCGCGCGCAACTGACCGGCCTCACGGTCGAAGCCATTTCCTTACGCGCAAATTTCACCGCATCTCACCTTCTGTGCAAGCACACTATATTAAGCGGAAAATCTACTCGACTGTACTCTACCTTGTAAGTTCTTCATTTCCCATTTTTCTTTATTTAAATCAACAAAAGGTAGCCATTTTGATACTTTAAAGCATTTTTAAAGGAAGCAGTTAGTGTACTAATTACATTCGACTCTTATCAGGGCAATGGTCCCAGCAATATGAGAGTGTTCCTCAGGTAATGACATGGTCAAGTTCCCTGTAGGCAAGATTTTATCTCGCTACACTGTCTCTTCAATTATTGGAGTTGTTGCCAATCTGTAGTTGGTTTCGCCAGTTCTTTTCGCTATTTTCCCATATCCGTCTTTAAAACTTTAGTTTGGTGATTTCACACTGCATGCATGACTTGTTCATGCAGAAAGACAAACTTTATTACCTTTCGCGTTAGCTGTTGCAGCGCTAGGGCGGCGTCACTCCGCTGCAATCAATACGCACCAAAAGCGTTGCTGCCACCTCTACGTATAGACAGCCGAAGCTAGGTATTATCAAGCCTTAGAAGGCGCGGAAACGGCGAGAACATGCGTTTTTCAAAGCCTTACAATCTGAAATTCGACGGTCTCGCCAAGGCTGAGACGCAGAGTCGCTGCAGGACCCTACGATTTTGACTGTGGAGGCATGCGTGATTTGCCGCATAGCAGGAATTTAAACAAGTCGAAGGGCCTCGCCCCAAGGCGTAATTCCCCACTTCTCGATCGTTTTTCTTGCTTAAGATCGGACGTAACCTCGTACTTGCGCGATGCTATGTCTGATGGAGGCCACTTTCGCATGGCACTGTTCCAAAACCCCCACTTTGTCCAAACACTGCCTTTTAAGAGCAGCGGCCCGGCAGAGTCTCGACTCAAAAATTTTGTGTACCTTGGGTATTCGAGGCGCTGATTCCGAAAATCCACCTTAAAAAGCGCGAAAACGACAAAAATCACCACTTCCCGAGGCCTCCCATTTTGAATTTGGACGAGTGGAGCATGTCCCGCCGTGGTTAGAGAGGCAGAATCGTTGCGGGACTCTCGCAGTTATAACATTGGTAAGTGCCAGAGTAGGCGAATATTTTGTTCAGCTTCGTTAAGCTGCAAAAGGCGCACAGAATTAATGTTTGCTGCCTAATCTCTACTGCTGCCAAGGCCTGCTTCAGCTGCCGGTCCGCGCAGAATCAACGTTAATTCTGTGCGCCCTTTGCAGCTGAACGAAGCTGAGCAAAATATTCGCTTACTCTGGCACCTGCCATTGCGGCATGCCTTCTTTGACGGGTCGAGAATCGCAAACTCGTCCGCACGTATTAGAATGGCTTGCGCGAACGGGTTTAGGGGCAGTTTTTTAGGCAAGGGCAGCATGCTGTGCGCTCGGACCCGCTCTGTTCTCATGTTTGGGATGCAAGCAACCTTCCCGGTCAAAATTTCGGGATGTTCGGTTTTGGCGAGTTGCTGCCTTTAAGGTTTTTGCTCCGCCTGTATGCTTAAAGGCAGTGGCTCGGCAAATCTCAGCCTAGTCAAATTTGCGCTTACCTGGGGTTTTTCAATACGCTGATCCCGAAAACCCACTTTTGAAAGCTTGAAAACGGCGAAAATGAGCGTTTTTAAAGGCACCGTCCACCCAGATTCTCGACCTCCAGCTTTTTGTCGTTCCAGGGTCTTCTCGGGTCCCTGATTCCAGATATGATGTCGAGAATCCGCGAAAACCCCAACAATCCTCATTCCGGATAGCTTTCCAGAACGGTGATTAGATGAGTGCGCACAAATTGGCGGGCATGGATGGAGAGGGGCGGGCATGGAAGGGGGTCCTCGTGCATCTTCGCTATTCCGAAGCGATTTTCTCGCTTCCGGAGCAGCATATTGCGCCGCGACTTGGGCATTGGCTTGATGGGAGGCCCTACTGTTATAAGCTGCCAAAAGCTCAACACCCTCAACTTAGGGTGGACGGTGCCTATGATGCCATTCCCTTTGATATTGGACGAGTGGAGCAAGGCCGATGACGCTAAATCGTGGAAGGACCCAATAGTTATAGCGTTGCGGCGGGCAGCCTCCAATGGTGAGAAGGAAATTGCCAACTTGCCAATCTACTCAACTGTATCACCCCGCATCGGTCGTGGGTGTTCACAAGCTGAAGCTGCGCGCGCGCGGCATGCGGCGGAAATGATACGCGAGCGTGGTTGTTGAGCTGTCTTCAGATTTGTGACCGCTATGGGCTCACCTTGCTCTTCTCATAGTTACGTTTTCCTTTATGCGACTACATTTGCTTGCGCGAGTTCATATCTAATTACCTTTTATTGCAATTTGATATGTTTCGTTATTTAGATGATACAGTTTTCGTTAAAAAGATACAACGCTGTCATGGGTTAAATTTTTGTCTTGAATACTTATAATGGTCCTGGAGCTCGAACAATGATAAGGCTTGCGTAACTGAGCATTCGAGTTGGAATATGCCGTTGTAGTATCTTTCGATGTGTTCTTTCGACTGCTGTCTACAAGCATATCGATTGAATAAATCTTTGGTCCTGGTACACTCCATATCACATCGAGAGAGGGACAAATTTAGTCTAGTGGAAAGGACATTGGAAGTTTCATTGGTCACTATTCTAGCCATACATGAGCTTCCGCGCTCGAGCATCGTTTCCGCCGCCTGCAGCGCGCGCGCGCAGCTTCAGCTCGTGAGTGCCCACGACCGATGCGGGGTGACATCGCCTATATAACCGGTAGGCGCCATAGTCCAAAAAAAACTTCTTGGCAGAGTAATAAACGGTCGTTTCGTTGCAGGCGAGATTGGGATGTACAGGCCCCGTAAAATCCAATTGCCCACGTGTCGCTCTGAATACCAACGCGCGGCGCGGCTGGAGACGTTTGGTCCCGAAGCGCTACAGGCTTTTTGCGAGCGACAATGAGCGCGCACCCTTTCCATACATATTTTTTAGACTTTTGAAGGGACCTTTCGTCAAGATATACCTTGCATTGACGAGAACAACATGAAAGTTAAAGGAAGATTTCAGGGAATATAGTAAACGCCGACAGTCGTTCGCGACAAGCGCTCGCTTACGCTGGTGTTGAAAGCACGGCGCGGGCAATCAGGTTTTACGGCGCCTATACCCTTGATCGGGTCTCTGATCTGCAACACGTATGGCTAACATGCGGTGTTAGACGAAAGCCAACATTTCGTTGCATGTTTAATATGTTATCCATACGTGTCGCGGATCAGAGACGCAGACCAGACACCAACTATAGAAGGAACGATATTTTTCGCAAGGACTCGCGCCGTGCCGCGACGTAGTTATACGTCGTGCTAAGGCTCATGTCTTCGCTTCATCCTCTGGCTGGAAAAATGTGCGCTTTATAGTCCGCAGTCTCGGGATCACATCGAATGTTTCGGCCTACTTGGTTGAACCAGACCATGTAGGCATTCATCGGATTAACCCCTTGGTAGGTGCCAGACTTATCCTGTTCAAACGGTTCATGCGGTTCACCCTTTCGCTATTGGTCAAATCAGTGAATGAACCAATAGCGAAGGGGATGAACGAACCGGTTGGACCAGTTAAAGGCAGCGTCCAGGCAAGTCTGGACACATGGTGATCTCACGTGGATAATAATCTTGGGGCCCTAACTAAGCCACTGCCCAACCGGCAGCTCAGGTAATGCTCTAACGGCTGAGATGTCCCCCTCGAAACTGGACCCCGCGATCGTATTCTGCATGGATTAATGACGCAAAGCGTGGATCCTGGCGCGAAACTGCCATGAATCCATGCGAATACGATCGCGGGATCCAGTTTCGAGGAGAATTTCTCAGCCGTTAGAGCAATCTGCGCTGCCGCTTGGGCAGTGCCTTGGTTAGGGCCCCAAAAGTACTTTCCACGTAAAATCCCCATAGAATCTCCAGATCTGCCTGGACGGTGCCTTTAAGCTTTTCTCCTGCCCTTTCATCTGAAATATAGGGCATTCGAAAAATCATACGATGGCGCGATCTCGCGCAACACGCATGCGTCTTCCGGCAGCCGCACTTTCTTGGTTTTCAGCGCCACTTGTATGGTTTTTCTGCTCGCATATGATAGTATGTACACGCTGAAAGTGACTGAGTTGAGCTTTGAGGTGATGCCCTTTATAAGTGTTTTATGCTTCTGTGGGCGCAAAGACCGCAGTCGAATCCGTCGTCACGATTTTGAAAATGACGCATGCTTAAGGTCATACCTTTGATAGTCTAGAGACAGGGCGTCAAAAGTGAAGGTTGTTTGAACATATGACGTCATAAATAGTGACGGTTGTTTAAAGAAGTTCGGAGAAGAAAATATGACGTAAAACAGGTATAAAAAGCAAAAGAAACTGCCGAAAATCGAATAAAAACGCTGCAAAGAGGTCTGAAATCGTTCATTTGGCGGCTTTTGAAAGTGCAAGTTTTCGCTCCAGGACCAGCAATTTCCAACACGGGGTTTTGATTTTTGATGCGTCCTTTGAATTTTCACCCCCCGCATTGGCGTTCCTGTTTCCTGGAACGTTGTCTGGATTGTTGCGCTTATTGTCTGAGCAATAATCGCCCAAGGTGGAAGAAAATCGATGCGAAAGCACTGAAATAGAGCAAGGTAAAGAAAAACGCACTTTTTACGATTTTTCCCAAAAAATCCCACCATAATCGAAGAGGTAAGGGCTGGGTGGTTGTCTGCATTATGAACAGAAGTAAGATCTATAGAATGCACGAAAAAACCGCGTGAAAATAGTCAAACTAGGAGACAAACAAGACATTTTCGAAAACAAGGTTTTTGCCGGATTTCTCGATCAAATCAAAATATGTGGTTTTGGGACGTTGTCAGTGTGAAAATAGAGATCAAGAGCTTCAAAATGATATATAGCTTGCTAAAATTGGGTTCGAAACAGCGAAGAAAAGGGTATCAGAGCCAAATGCCCGCGCCCCGCTTTTGGGGTAGCGAGGTAGCGCGCAGCCCGCGGAGACGCAGACGAGCAGCGGAGACAGACCAGAGCCGACGGGGCATTTGGCTCTGGTCGTAGATCTCCGCGAGGTCTCGACAAAACCCTACAACATCATATATCATTCTGATCGTCATGACACGACGAGGAGAACTGACAACGTCCCAAGCTTTGAAAATGACTCATTAACAAAATAGCCCAGCGTTTTCCTGCGCGAATCTCTGCGCAAGATTTAAGCACAGTTTCTCGTTTTTGTTCACTCCAATAGCTCTCCCGAAGTTTTGAAACTCGATTTTATTTAGGTGAGAGGATAACAGAGAAATTTTGTCTCGAATTCTGGCGAAAATTCCACAGAAATCTTCTTTTTAAAGTAAAAAAAGGCTATGAAAACGCAAATTCTCGGTTTCGCTGAATTAACTAAAGACAGTATTCCCTATATTTGCTTCATTAACATTCGTTCCGATATAGTCAGATAATAACATCCGGGGCTTCGCCCCGGATGACTTCTGTTTTTTCCAGGTGAAGGTTGTGTCCCCCCCCCCATAGCCCTCAAAGTGAAGGTTACCAGAGTACATGGCTCTATGTATCGAGGGTATGCTTAGGGTCTTCACTCCTTTGAGCTGGAAGCATGTCAACGACTGCAGTCTTTTATAGCGGCGACTTCATATTTTTGCCTCATAGAACTCTCTCATATCCTCTTCCAGAGCGCTTGGCAGATAGCTTTGAAAACGGCACTTCATGCTTTCCAAAAAAAATAATGTGTTAAAACCATTCGACCAAGTATTTATCGTTGTCTTTGAGATAAGACTTGAATTCTATCAGCGGCATTTGCATATTCTCTCAATAGCATTTTGTGCTGAATTCGCTCTGTATATTAATGTTTTTTGACATTGATAAAGGAAAGCTCCGCGCATAACGCAGTTTCCTTCGTTTTTTTTTGACTTCGAAAAAAGGAGTTTCGAAATGGAACATCATCAATGCGGTATCTAATGCTGCTGCTGTTAGTGGACGTTATCGACATATCACCCTGCGCTATCAGTGACGATAGGTTTTCCAAAAGATTCTTATCCAGTGATCAATGTTTGTGTAATAGGTAAAGAGTGTAGGCTCTGAACCACTCTGTGTAAGAGCGGAAATTGCTTATATTTGGTTTTGTAATGTCGTACAATATCTTAGTGCTCACCGATCTAATGCTGTCGTTTATGGTATGAATCAAACTTATGTCTGAAATTCATATCCAGATATCATATCGCTTCTACTAGTATGCCAACTCCCTCTCCTCAGAGTAGAGCTTGCTTGACCGGCAGGACATTGGGTGTTATGATACTAGTGCTGGTGAATGTCTTGTGGGTTTTGTCGTCTGAGGTCACTAGAGTAAGTTTTCCAATGTTATGATGAAATTTTGAATTCATTTCTATGATTCCTTTCATCCACTAACATGCTTTCAGTTCATTTTCATCGACGAAAACTTCAGAAGGCCATTTTTTACAGCATATGTGAAGACATGCATGCTCACAATATATATGGTGCGATTTCTGGTGTTTGAAAAGCCACAGCAGGTCCGTGAAGTTGCGTCTATCTTTATCATTCATCATTTTATCAGTATTTCCTTCAAACTAGTGCAAAACCTCGGCAAGTTTTATTTACCTAGTGAGAATGTCCGACTAATCTCGAATTTCCCCTTACATCTAGTGTTATCAGCACGGTCAGGCAAGAAGTCAGGCTCGTATCCAGGGTCCAGAATTCCTGTTGCAGGTTTGGGGGTGGATAGGGTCTTGTTCAAGAACCGCACTGTATATACAACTGTCTAATATATAAAGAATCGTTGACTCAGTTCAAAATCTGCAAATAGCGGGAAATCACGCGGCGGTCGAAGAGAACGCTCTTCCAAATAGCACTTTTAGATTACTGGTTCACTAGACTGGGAAAAAGAAATGCCAGTCGAGTTTTATGGTGAAGAAGAAAAGCGAGAGGGGTTAAAGGCAGTAGGTCGGCAGAATGAGACCCGTGACAAAACAAGGTCACAGGTAGGAGCCCCCATATGGAACCTATCGGCCAAAGTCCGCTCTTTCTCTGCCACTTCTAACCCCCGAAATTTTAACACGGAAGCAGCGTCATCTCCTGTCCTCTCCGAACCCGCCCACCCCATGGACGAGTGAACGCGAGGCCCGTCATGGCGAAGACGCAGAGTCGTTGCGGGACCTCATGCTTATAGCATTGCGGCTGCGATCTGACCGCGGAAGTCACTCGTCCATGGGGTGGGCGGGTTCGGAGAGGACAGGAGATGAGCGCTGCTTTCGCTTTGAAATTTCGGGGGTTAGAAGTGGCAGAGAAAGACCGAACTTTGGCCCATAGGTTCCATATGGGGGCTCCTACCCTGGGACCTTGTTTTGCCACGGGCCTCATTCTGCCGACGCACTGCCTTTGAACTCATACATATTCTCACCAAATCGTAATTTCACGTTAGTGGACATGCTAAAGATTGAAGCGGTTGTGAACAGCATACCAAACAACTGCACTGCTCGAAGTTTCGGCATAATCCAGAGTCTCTGTCTTCAAGTGTGCACTTATCGAAAGCTTAAGAAAGAGGTCAGGAATGGATGTATCTAAGCTTAATCATGTAAAATTACCTCTGTGAGTCTACAGACGATGTTCTGCTACGACGTAGCATTTCATAGCGTCTGAGTAACGATTAACGAGGTTTAGAAGACGGAAAAGTCAAGCTTTCATACCCATGATTAAGTAGTACTATGTGCTGATCTGTGTTAGAAATGCGTATTGTGCTTCGTCAGCGGGTCTAAAAGTGCTTTTGAAGTTGTAGTTACTTGGTTTTTCATCTGGTGTGCCTCACTCCATGAAACACCACAAAGCCAAAGAGAACTTGAAGGAAGTCAACAACTCAATGTAGAACCTCCAAGGTCGCTAACGAATGATATAAAACTTGAGTGGAAAGCTTGGAGATAAAATGAGTAAGGTTAGCATGATTCCTCAAAGGTTAGGCTGTCTATGCTTTGTGACGTTGTCCCACTCAGCCTTTGAAAGCCTGCAACCCCGTATTGATTTCTTGGTCTCAAACCCTCCACTTTTGGGGGATGCCTCTTATAGGCAGTGTCCGGAAAAGTTGGAGGTTTCGCCATTTCAATGTCATGGGAAAGGGGCCCCTCGGACACGCCATCGCGCAATGCGATGCCATAGGCCTGGACATGGGATGACACGTGAACTCCTCCATGTAGAATGAAATGAAATGACATAGCTCGCGCATTTGTAGGCTATGAGCTTAGCCACGGCCTACGCCGCAGCAGCAGCAGCGTACGCCGCTGCAGTCGCAGTGAGAATATGTACCATAGATACGCTCATGGCAGCAGCACACGCTGTTTATCAATGATTTCTATATCTGCTGCTCTTTCGTGTTCCCCGACAGTATTCCTTCAGAGTTTGCGATCCTTTTTCATTTTTAACTTGTCTCATCGTTAGTCGATTTTTCATCATTGATTTCAATTCGTGTGCTCCCTCGACTTTTGATTTTGCACAGTTTGCATCATGACTTCTGCAATATGCATAATCTAATTCTAGTATCTTGATGCTAAAAGTTTCTTAGAATACATCGCTCGATAAAAGGGTTTCGGTAAAAAGACCAAAGTCTAGTACCCTATGAGTAAAAATAAACAAAATAGCGCACTAGTGCGATTGATGGAACATACTCGAGCGAGATAAGTTTCTTGGAACCGAGGGCTCACACAAAATCAAAACTGAATGAAGAATCATTGATCGACGATGAGAAAAGGTAAAAAAAAGAAAAAGATTGCAAACTCTAAAAGAAGTACCCTCGAAGAATACGAACGTGCAGCAGATCTAGAGATACATCAATAAATAGCGGAACTGTGCTGCCATGGACTTACAGTCTGCTCCAATTGGGATCAGGCCGAACCACCGGCGCAAATTTGCGCGCTCGCAGCGCTAGCGGTCTGCGCTGTGGGAGAAAGCAAAAGAATTGAAGAGAGAGCAGAGAAGCAGGCCGTGGGCGCGACCGCGAAGACCTAGCGACGCGGACTCCCGCCATGCCAATTTTGGCCTGGTTGAGATTGGGGCAGACTATATTTTCTGGGGCAGACTATATTTTCACTGTGTTGGCAGCGGTGTACGCTGCGTGCTGTGGCGCACGCAGCGCACGCGGCAGGCTGAAGCGTCCTGCGGCGTAGTATGAAGGAACTATGAAGAAATTTCGTTTTTGTGGCCTGCGTGTCAAGTAACTCTCGTAAGCAAGTTCCCAATGGTTTAGTTTTCCAGTCTTTCTGATGTGAAACCGTACCAAAATTTCGTTAGACAATCCCTGTGAAATGTGTTTCAACTTGCCGAGGTTTTATTCGATTTCTTTTTACGGACGCTTCGAGGAAGTTCCTACATAGTAGAATTACATTGTCCGCTTATGATGATGTAATCATATTTAAAGCTAGTATTATAATGACTTGGTTTGTCTGGGGTAATGGCGTTTGGTGAAAGTGGCACGCTTCTTCAGTCCTTTTTTGTTATGTTTTAGCATGTGTATAAAGTTCTCGAAAATGATGCTTCCGATTGCGAATCCATCGATCTTGGTCATCACTCTAACTTGGTGAGTTTATGCATGGTGAATCCATTTGTGCCATAGGTAACAGCATATCAAGATTTCTATTAACTGAAACATTAGTAAGACCCATCCGAGCTGATCTAATTTGAGAAAAAAATAACATGTTTGAGTTTTTAATTGGGAGAGTTTTTGGAACCGATGCATGCTCGATAGCTCTACAACTGATAAAACTTGTAACACTTGATTCCTCCACAAAAATTGTTATGGGCACACAGTGCACCGCTATGTCCTGGGAAGATTCGCATTGGCTAGAGTTGTTTGCAGAATTCTCACGAGTTGGCATCTAGTGTCTCTAGAAACGAGGTCTGACGAATTACTCTTTTTCTCTTTTAGGCTCCGGACATACTTCACGCGATTTGATCGTCACGACTCAAACGCCGACATTTCCATTCATTTTCATTTCACATTCAAAAATTTCGGGCTGGAAAAGTATCACAACCGAAATGCAAGTTGATCGGCATGGAATGATGTTGTAACAGTTGTCTCGTCGCGATTCAGTCGCGACGATCAAATCGCGTGAAGTCTGTCCGGGGCCTTCGCTTTCAGTTGGACCGCAGAGTTGAATAGATCTTGTTTGTTCGAAGATGGGGTTTGAATATAGTATGTTGAAATATCGGAAAGGCGTGGAAGGTGAAACGAATTTCAATTTTTTTTTCTTGCAAGGGTATCTCCAAATTGCACTTTCAACCGGGTTCCGAGCAATACTTATCAAGTATAGCCATTTATCTCCACTTCACTGCGCCAAAAATTCGTGACATGTGAGGCACACAGTGCACCGCTATGCGATCAACCCGGTCAAGCATGGGGTGTGGCCATGGCTCGGCACGAGGTGGCTTACAAGCAAGCTGGATATCGTTTTTGGGACGAAAAGCAAAGGGGGTTTCGTTTTTGTGACCGAAGAGACACGCAAAATTGGCGATTTGGCGAAATTGGCGATTTGGCGACGTTTTTTTTAGTCGACTCGTTTTTCGGAGGATTTTTAGGGAATATGGTGGGGGGTCAAAGGGGACTTCGTAAAAATACCCAAAAGTCAAGGGGGACTTCGTTTTTTGCATTTTCATCTAGCCACCACGTGCCGAGCCCTGGGTGTGGCACGCCACGGAGCCTTATCGAGGTAATAGTGATTTAAGCGACATTATTCATCCAACAATGTCTGATAAGCCCACTGTACCGGAGCCGAAATCCTCAGAATTTGCTGAAACTTGGCCCATGGTGGTTATTTGACATTATAATTACGAATATGTGGCTACAGTCGAATAGATTTTCCGCTCAATATAATATGCTTGCACTGAAGGTGAATTGCGGTAAAATTTGCGCGTGAACAAGTAGCCACGCCAGTAATGCCAACATTTGGCGCGCGCAAATGGCCGGCGTCAAGGCGTAGCTTGTACATCTTTACGCGCAAATTTTACCGCCACCTGCAGTGCAAGCACATTATATTGAGCGGAAAATCTACTCGACTGTAATTATGCATGGTAGAGCCTTTATTTCATTCCTAGGGAAGAGAGGATGGGGGGGGGGGGGGGAGGTATTGAGACAGGTGGGTGGGAGGGGGGGGGTCGTATCCGGCGCTTGTGTAGCACACCTCTTGCTCAACCCTGAATCGACGTTTTTCTCAACGTTTTCAAACTTCGCCCACTCTATAGCTGGAACATGAAGATACGATGATGACGATGATGTCAAAATTTGATATGTATAACTCTCACCTCCACCGTAGAGGGCACATTTTGTGCTGCGTATAAAAGCCACGCAAAGCGCTTTCTTCTAATTCTCTCACTTTCCGAGGAAGGTTTGAGTATCAGTTTCAGAATCAACTTTTACCTGAAGATAAATGGGACTTGCAGGAATATTACGGGCCTTAACATACGTAACTTTTCTTACAAAACTTTAATTCACGCTCTTCAACTCTCTCCTCCCAATTCACGCTCTTCAACTCTCTCCTCCCCCTCACCCTCTCCCGCATCTCGGACGCCAGGAGGAATTAAAGGTCTAGACGCCTGCGTCCGTGGGGGTAATTGAAGGCGCAAGCACTGCAGTGGAGATTTGGTCAGGTTCCAAAAAATTCACAAGGAAATCTAGACGATTTTCAAAAAAGCGAATGCTCGTTACTTCGCTTGGGAGAACGCTCGAGGAATGAGTGAGGCAGTGTTGTAATCTGCATCTCGAGGCGCATTTGTTGAGGGAAGAATTGAAAGCTGAAAATTGCTCCTTCTCAAACAAAGTAACCAGTACACTTTCGACTTGAGGTATATTGGAATTTTTCGCAGAGTACTCCTGTAACTTGCCCCCACCTTAGCAACGCCGCGTTCGTCCTAACACGAGCATCAGTGATTGTGTCGCAATCCGACGTCACTCGAGAGCCCAGGTATTTTAATATGATGACCTTCTTCAACGGCTGCCCATCAGTGCTAATTGTGCCATCGGTTTGCTCTCCGCATTCCAGGTACTCGGTCTTTGCTACATTCAGTCTCAGGCCATATTCCGCTAATCGTTTCTTCCATCTCGCGGTCGCCTCTTCGAGCTCCTGTCTCGATCCGCTTGCTAGCTCGAAATCATCCGCGTAAAGGAGTGTCCACGGTTGCGGCAGCTGAATGTCCCTGGTCACCGTGTCTATGCACAGTATGAAGAGAAGTGGTGATAGAGCCGATCCTTGATGTACAAACTTGGATTGGGGATGGCTGACGTTTCCACTGCACAACGTACGGCGCCCGTCGTGTTCGTGTAGAGAAGTTTGATCCAGCGGACGTACTCTTCTGGGACGTCGTGTTGTCTCAGCGCATACCAGATCAGCCCGTGTGGTATCCGATCAAATGCCTTTTCTAAATCCAAGAATGCGAAATGGATCGGAATCCGTTTCTCGAAATGACGTTTCATTAGCAATCGTACTGCATGGATGGCGTTGGTGGTACCAGATCCTTTTACAAAGCCGCACTGGTTCGGGGTGACTTCCACTATACTTCGGATGCGTGCGTCGATGATTCGTTTGAAGATCTTCATCGCGTGGCACAGCAAACGTATCGGTCGATATGTTGAACAGTCGCTGACGTCGCCCTTTTTCTTCTAGATAGGGACTGTAACACTCATGGTCCAGATTCACGACACCTGCCCGTCGATGATGCGGTTGAAGAGCGATGTGAGAAATGCCACTCTATGCTGCCCCATCATCTTGCACACTTCAGCAGGTATGCCACCAGGTCCTGGGGCTTTACCGCTAGACATCTTCTTCAATGCCTGCACAAATTCTGGCTCCTCAATCCGAGGTACCAGTCCAAATGAGGAGCTCCTTGTGGTACTAACGGGTGCGGGAACTCCTCATTACATAGACCTCTGTACTATTCACTCCACCGCCTGAGTATTGCCCTCGGCTTCGTCAGGAGATTGCCTTCTGCGTCCTTAAAGGCAGCGTCCAGTCAAATTGACGACCTCCGGTTTATCGCCTTATTTGGCCCTACTCGTCGCCCTAAATGCGAATATAAGCCTCGGAGCGCGTGAAACGAAGAAATCCGAGGTTTTCGGGAGCCCCTTCTAGTGGTCTCCGGACGAGCACTCACCCTGATCAGAAACCAGAGAAGCAAGACGCCGCACTATTGTGTTGCGGCACGGTTATGACCAGGGTCAAGCGTGGGGTGCGGCACGCCACACCTGGGGGGTCGTATTGAGGAGTCAAAAGGGGAGGGGGTCGTAGTTGGGTAATCTGATAATAATGATAACATGATATTCGTATCATATCCATAATTAACATGTCAATTAACCCCTGTAGACAAAGTGTGAGCAAAATCTGAATATTCAAGATACTAGGCTACCTAAGTGAAATGGTCAAATTCCAACATGGTTAACTTTGTTTCAAAGATGAATTAGCTATCCGTTTTTGCACTCAAGACAAAACACTACTCCTTCTTTGTCCACCTCAGGAATCCGCTTCAGAAGGCCTGCAAACTGTGGAATTAAAAGCCAACCAAAATCTCGTTTTTCCCATTTTTCGCTTTTGATCGCTATGCTTTCACCAAATATTACTTAAAGCTAAGAAGACAAATCAGGCTCCAAACAGTCCAATGGAATCTACAGTCTGCCCCAATCGGGATCAGGCCGAAGCGTCGGCGTAAATTTGCGCGCTCGCAGCGCTAGCGGTCTGCGCTGCATATGCGCGCTGTTGGAGAGAGCCAAAGGACTGAAGAGAGGGCAGAGAAGCAGGCCGTGGGCATGACCGCGAAACCCTAGCGACGCGGACTCCCGCCATGCCAATTTTGGCCTGGTTAGGATTGGGGCAGACTGTACAAGGTTTAGGCTATCGATTCATATAAATACCGTCCGCTAAAAATGTTTTTTTGATACCAGTGCGTCACCTCCGCTTCGCGGATGTTCGCACTGGCTCCCTATCCCTATGCCTTTCTCATGCTCGCATGAGAATGGCTTTGAAACTCACCACGCGATGCTAAGCATCACAAATGAATCGTAAACAACTGCTCATTCATGAAGCATCTCCATGTAAGATCGGTAATTTTGAGAAAAAAAAACCTTGTTGCAAGGAAACAAATGCAAATTTGAAAGGATTACTGAATTTATTTTAGTTTGATAATCGTCATCAGGATAATAGTCACCTTGGGCTACATTTCAGTGCGAAATCTTTTCAGTTTTTTCAAATAAAACCTTGCCAAATCGACCATCTACGCGTTCATCACTTTTTGGCGCTGTTTTCGCAAAAAACCAAACTTTTTGAGCACTTTTTGGGCTAGAATTCATGGCGCTTAGAGTTACTTGTCAGGCAAATCATAACTTTGCAAAAAAGCGAATTAGCGACCCAGTTTTGCGTGCCAAAAGGCGCGTGGACCCGTTTGACGCGCAAATTTTGAGGGACCCGCTTATCGAACCGGTTCGTCCTTGTGCATGGTGAGCCTACACGCTGGCACGGTATGTTGTGCAAAGTTGCAGCCCGATAGCTTAGTTGCAGCTTTCTCTATGAATTTCGGACAGACATACATATAAAC